TCTACTGCAGCAACCTGTCTGTCCGTCACACTAAATTGTCGTGCCTGTCACGCTTTTCCGGACAAATCATTGGATAAAATAATTTAAATATTCCTACTGGCTGCCGAGCGCAGCGGAGGTGGCTTTAATTGGTTAAAACTAGATTGTGTTGTTGCATCAATAAATTCATGTGTTTCCCAGTTTACATATGGGGATTTGCACAAGGCTGTACATTATCCAAAGGCATCGTTTAAATATTATATACTTTTTTATAATGCATGTTGCTATTGATATTTGAGTACTAAACGGAGGGCAGGGTGCCTATCGTACACGTAAGCATGCGTGTTTCCGAGGACATGGTTTAAGTATACTAAATTCTCTGTACTCAGTAGGATCTGCGTGTTACACTGACTAAAATGATAATTTCAATTTTTTATTGTAAAAATATTAGCATTAATAAGTTATCTGAGTGGGTTTCTGGTACTGCTAAATCGTATATGTTACATGTACAGCAGTAGCCGGTCGTGTGGACTGGTCGTAAGAACAAAGCTGTGCTTATAAACGTTGTCACTTGATTCACAAAGATAGAAAGTTTTAGATTGACGTGTGAACAAAAGAAGTTATATGTGATGATGACAATTACTACTGTGAGCGAAGTGAACTTGACCATTGTTTTCTAAGCGGGTTTTTAGACAACAACATTCTGATACTTATTAATAGGTAGACGCGTTGCCGACAAGGGCGTAGAATAAGGTTTTACATGCAGCGGTAAGATAACAGCACAACATGAGAGGTGTCAATTATGGTTACTATAAGTAGGCCCGTAAAGAAACGTTTATCAACTTAAAGCCTAATCTACGTTTAACCATCCTGGAATCATCGTTTAAGTATCAAATAAAAATACCGCCGTCAACAACAACAACAGCAAGGCGTCTTGCGACGCATCGTTATATCCTAAGGCTATAACCATAACAGGCACAGATTCGAGTGTCTAATGACTGATTCTGAATCAGCACAAAATGAACACACTTCAATGCATAAAAAATGCTACAGCTTGAATATTTTTATTAAAAATTCAAATCGTAACACTTTTAATTTTCTTTCAAAGTAGCGAGTTTGGTATGCGAAGTGGTTAATAGTCAGTTTATTACAAGCTTAACCAGGCAGTACAAGCGGGTATTTGATGCAAGCTGGACAGATATTCTTTGTATTGATGCAATTTAGGTTTCAGAAACGGCCCGTGAAATCGAGCACGACGCTGAACTAAATATATTATTTAGCGTTTTTAGACTGAAGTGCAGGTGCTTCTGGGTGGAAGATTAAGACAGTGATAGCCAACAACAATAAAGAGACTTTGCCAAGATCACTAGCGTAAGCGTTTATGAGCATGGTAAGTATGTGCTAGGGGTTCAGTCTTTTGTACCGGTAGAAATATATACACGGCTTACTGGGAACTCAGCATTTTGTAGCAAATGAAACGCAGATTCATGAAATTTAAGAAGTCGATTTAGGCACACGGGGGGACTCAGAGGATTTGGACTAATTATCCCGCCGAAGCGAAGCGAAGGCGGGAAGGCAAAAATCTAAAGTAAACCTAAATTACCGCCGCGTAGCGGCGGCGCTCGGCTAGTGGTCATCAAATGGGCCGTCATGCGCTGACACGGGGTGACATGGTGTGACTTGGGCCCAGATGGGCAATGTGCCTCGTCACATTTTCTCTCAGACGGGCTCCCTATCACGTGCCTAAAAAATGGTACACTTCAACCAGAGTTGTTAAGTTCGTGTCTGAACCTATTTTCACGTATCACCTTGTGCCAGCTATGTCATGTCGCCAATCAGTCCGTCGTGAAGCCATATTGCTCAGTGTCTAGCACGGCATATAGCATGCGCTTGAGCTCGGAGCGTGAGATACCCAGCGGCAAGTCCAGTCGGTTGAAGCACGCGTAGCTGCGCACAAACTCGTCTGGCGCTCCCACAATTCCGCGGATCGTGAACAGACAGACCTTGCCATCGTAGCTGGTCAGCCCCTTGAAGCCCACAAGCGGCACCCGCGAGCAGCCGGTAGTGAACTGTAGTAGACGTCGTCGGTACTCATTGGGCATTTCCCTTACAATCTCCCAGAACCAAGCGAGTGTCGGGGACCGTGCCACACTCTCAGCCACCGAAGCGTTCTTCTCCCAGTCGTCCACATCGATCTCTGGGGAGCCGCACATGAGATAATCCAGTTCTTCGTAGTCGAACAGTACCAGCAAATGCAATGGGATAACCTCGTAAATGCCCTTGAGGAAGACGTAGAGCTGGTCAGCAACGCTGCGTAACAGCAGATGCTCAAACTTACGTTCCAAGTACTCGTGTGTGTTGGCGTCGGTCACCTCGACGTTGCGTCCGTTAGGAATGAGGTCGACTGTCATTGTGCGGTCACCGACACGCTCCATTACACTGAAGTCCAAGTCCAGCGCTTCCACACCGTCATTCTCCAGCATCCACGTCATGCTCTGGTACACTTCTGGGTCGAAATACTTAACATCGTCCATGCATAGCGGTGTCCCCAAAATGAGCTTGAGCAGTGGGACACACAAGTGGAAATTAAGCACCGTGCCCTCCAACAGCGCTCGTCCCAACAACCTCCCTGCTCCATACAAGTAAATCAGATGCTCCTCGCCATTGTCGTAGCGAGAGTTTGAGTTCAGGAAGAACGCCCGGTCTTCCCCATTCGTAGCCTTGAACAGCCCCGTTTCCGGATCCGTCAGCAACTCCGTCAGCATCATGAACCACTCGCGATGTAGTCCACCAGCGTCCACTCCGTTTTCCTCCAGGAAGTTGATACGCATCGCCGAGCGAATGTACTTCTCCTCTATGCACCCAAGATGTTCCATCGACTCCTCAAACATGTAATCTCTGTGAAGCGACAGCTTGAGGAACTCGACCTCGGGCGGGACTAGCAGTGATGCCGTGGTTTTGACAAAATAAGCGTACTTCGACGGAAAATCCTTCGCTGCTAGTTCGAGCGTCTCACGACGACGCTCGACACCTGTCTGCGTGTCGTCCTCCAACACTTCTCCCGTTGCACGCGCTGCTGCATCCCACTTCGTGGCTGGAATGATATCCATATCAGCCATCTCTTTAAACACCTTCGCTTTAGCCGGCTCCACGACAGCCACCTCGCTCTGTATCGCAATCGGCCCGTTCACTTGTCCAGGCATTTTCAGATTCTCGTTGGGCTTCACAAACCGGATGACTTTGCCCACACGTGCTGGCACAATAGGCCCGCTTCCTTCCTTTACACGGAACCAGAACATGTTGCCCTCGACGTCCAGTTTTCGTGTCCATTCCTTGCGTTTCCTGGCACGAAGCTGGCGCTCCGTCAAGTGGCGCGGCAGAATAGTTGCTCTCTCGTTTGTCTTGCGGTCTTTCTTTTCTTTTCGACGGCGCTTTCTCTTGTTCTTATTGCTGTTATCGGACGCCTCGAGCTTCTTCATGCGTTCTCCACAAAGTGAGCAGAAGAGCGCGTCCTTGAAGTTCTCAAACTCGCACACAGCGCACACTTCGAAGCCCTTTTCGGCCTCACGCGTGGCTGTATCGAGGCGGTGGTCGTTCGTAGTCAAGGGACTGTTGTGACAACCAACGTACAAACAAAGAGCTAAGTAAAAGTGGCTAAGAACAGGGTTATCTAAACGTACTTGCCCAGCAGCGGCGCCGCCAGCTCGCGAAGCCGCCGTGTGTGCACTCGAATGAGCTTGCGCCGCATCATGAAGAAGGCAATGGCCAGTACGGCCACGAAGCTCACGTTCACCAGGATGGCGAGCACGCCGCCGTCCATGGCTTCATACACGTCTTGTAGAGTAATGCGCCTTCTAATTAAAATTGATGTGATGCTTGATTGCGGCACATTCCGATCGTAATGGATCAGGCTTCACCGCGATAGATGATAAATCTGTTTTTTGTAGTTTTTGAGACTTGATGTCCAACGTTCAGTTATTTCGCATTGTAAAGGCTAACCTCTTTTTGACTCTGTAAGTTTAATACTTCTCACTATCAATTTTATAAGATTAGAATGTAATTTGTATTAGCCAATCAAGTGCTAGTTCAGCGTAGCACTGGAGGAATAATCACGCAGCATGTGTCCCAGACTCAGATCTGATACCGCACAAGATCCCATCAATAAGCGTCGCGGAGGCCAGATGGGAGTGCGCGCTGTCGAGTACTCCGCCGTCGCGACGCGCGAAGTAGTGAAGACTATATCGGAGAAATGCCAGGTGTGCATGCATATCCTCCTAAATTTTAATCCAGTATTGACCTCTGACTGACCGCCACGCTCGCTGTATGTAGGTGTTGGGCAAAATGCTGGAGGCGTCGCGAGTAAAGCTTCACAGTGCTGAGGAGATAGCACAAGACTCGATATTCGCACAAACACCGGTGCGGCTGCTGACGATACTTATGAAGCTACATGTGCTTTTCTGATAGCGCTCTTTGCTGCACTACGCAGCTCCTGCAGGAGATGAACCGTGTGTTTGAGCAGCTCCAGGGCACTTGCGTTGATCCGCACATGGTGGGCGGTGAGCGAGGCAAGACGCTGTTCGACTTTGTCGACGCCGAGACTGTTCAGTCGTTGCAGCAGGATGCATTGGAGCAGACGAAGGAGTAAGTGGTGGGCAGTTGGTGTACGGTGCTGGTACTCATAGTTGCTTTGTTTGAATCTGCAGAGTGGAAGAGCTCTTAGCGGCGCACCAACACGCAATCAGGAGAATCGCAGCTATTTACAGATTTTTCGTGACGTTTGATAAAGCTCACGGTAGTAATGTTGACGCCCTGGTTGGCGAGCATCGTGAACTCGCATCGATTGCGTAGGTACATATTGCTATTTGAAGGCTCATGCCGAAGCCTTTAACCTCTAGGTCGGTTATGCAGCGACGAGGATGCCAAACCAATCGGAGAGCTATACAATGCAGCAGTATGTACAGTACATGCATTGCTTTCACGCACTGGAGGAGATTGTAGCCATTCAGCTGCTAACCCTGGCTGGCTGATTTATTGTAGGTCAGCTTTTTCGTCGACATGGAGCAGTGCGACCGCTTCTTGCTGGAGTACTTCACCACTATTAACGATATATACCCGCAGTACGTTCTGAAAAGCTCGCTGATGAAGGTGCCTTAACCTGTGTCGCTTTGCTTTCTTGACTCACAGCTACGAGGGGATATTTGCCGATGTGCAACTTCTGTTTGACGAACTTCGAAGCCTTCGTGACTTTTATCGCCAATTTCTAGCTTCCTATCAGTCTGTGGGCGCTGAAATTCTTCGGCGTAGACAGCACGACACGAAATTTCGACAATTCGTAGGTGGCTCCCTCATACTTTTCCGTCTTGTACTATACGCATTGCGTGAAAGATTGGGTAACCAGTCTGCTTCATGATGACCTGCAGATTGAAGAGATGAAGGCTAAGCTTGCTCAGTTAGAACAAGAGGAGATTGCATTGCGTCGCACCTTCTGCGAGGAACACGCACGCTTCTTGCCCTCCACCCTTTGCCCCGAGATTCAGGTACGAGTGTAGCAAAGACTCTGGCTTGTCCTTTACAATAAGACTAAAAAGTTTTTGCCTATGTAACTTAGAACTTGCCCGACAGATACACAGTCGTCAGTACAGCCTACACGAGCGAGAGTGCGGCACGCGAGTAAGCTGAAAAAACAGCTTGCATAATCAGAACCTCGTGCAAGTATCCACCATGCGTGTTTTTCTTTCGTTCTGGACAGTTAGATGTACACTCCTCTCTACTGAGGCAGCAACTGATACAGCAAAGACATCAGCTCATTCGTGAAGAAATCTACATAGCCACAGCTTATCCATGGCCAGCCTCCCGAGTGTTCTAAGAAATCAGAGTGGGTCTAATTACTGTTTTTTGAGCGGCTTGGTCGGCTTGTACATGTGCGTCTTCACAACTGTGCCCTCCTTCGCGCGGGACACTGCTGCCTCGAAGGGCGATGTCGTCGTAATTGTAGATGCCTCCAGACGCTGCACCTCTGTCACGGGGATGTTGAGTGCACGCTTGACGACGTTGAGCCGCATCAGTGCAGTCTGCGTCAGCGTGAACATGTTCGACGTCACCCAGTACACGAAGATGCCCTACATATTGCACAAAACAACACAATCGATTACTCGTATGTTCAGACCAGCCATCACCAGGTGCACGAGAGCTTAAATACCGATTGGAAATTCATGGTGAGCGGGACCATCATAAGCGCAAAGCAGCGCATACCGAACTTCAAGTTGCGCTGCATATCACCACCCATTGCATCCCCACCGAGCTCGACGGATGCCGCCATCAGAGCCGAGGAAATGACGGGCAAAGCCAGCGTAGGGTCGGCAACGGAGAGGTCGGGAACCCAGCCGATGCCCTCGTGAGCATACTCGGGAAAGTACTTTGAGATGTCTTGCAGACCCCAGAAGAACCCAAGAAAGACAGGGATCTACATATGTAGCATTCATAATGCGGGCGTGTGAGAAGATATTTAGCAAGTATTTTGGACACATGCTCGTAACTCCCTACCTGGGATAATGGGGTGAGCACACTTTTAAAAGGGTTCACGTCGTGCTTCTTCATCAGTGCCTTGTATTTCGTCTGGAACTCTTTCGTGGACTCTGGGCTCTGCGTCGGGTTTGCATCCATCTGGGCTTTGAGCTTCTCCATGTCGGGCTGGAAAAGTTTCATCTTGGCTGCATTCCGCATCTTAACCACAAAAGCCAAGCACCGGTAAGGAATAGCTATTCGGGGGAAAATAACCCGATTTTGCCACTCACCGAGATGACAGTCACCGGGAAGAAGACCGTACGCACGGCAACTGTCGTGGCAATAATAGTCGCCCACCACGGAAGACCCGTCGTCGAGTGAATCACGTCGAGCGAGCGGATAGCCATGTCCGACAGCGAGTAGCCTGCACACCAGCACAAACTAAGTAAAAACTCAATTGCCATAGAGTCATTTTATAAATGCACTTACCCAGGTCGGAGACGGAAGCGAAGTCGACCGCACCTGCACAAAACAAAACGATATTTCAGACATTCAAAGCTCAGGATTTGTGCAGCAAAAGCAACATACTCGCAGCTTCAATCGCCTCCTCCGCCGCATTTTTTGCCTGACCCGCCGCCTCCGAGGGCGAGGCTGCAACGATCTTGTCGTCATTCAACACGCTACACACAACACACTAATTTCCCACACCACTATCTACGCACAGTACAGCTACGTCGTACCTTGTCGCCGGCGTGGAGGAGAACGAACGTCCACCAAAGTTGTGCGTGGGAATGAGCTGCACAGCGCTCAAATGAGCCATGTGCTCGAAGCGCAGAGCGCGTCCGACCTGGGAGGCACGGGGGCCGCTAGTTTTGTAAATCAAAAAGTCATAAAGATGATATTAAGAAAAATCATGAAATGAGTCTCAGGGAAGTGAATGTGGCATACGCACTTGCGGGCAGAGGAGCGCGCCATGGCCATCGCAGCTGGCTGCATACGACGCATCGTGAGGAGCACCATCGCTGCAGACCGGAGGAGTGCCTTTCGTGGATGGTATTTAGTGCCGTCAGTAAAATTCCTCGTTATAATGACCCAACAAACATGCAGTGTTGAAGACCATTGTACGTGTATGCCGGTTTTTATTTGCATTATGATATCGTTATCGCTTCATGCATGCAGTCAGCACTGCATCGGTAGTGTAAGCGAGTACACGTGATTCGAAGTTAGCACAAGCATAGCGTCTTCGTTTACGATCTGCATCCCCAGAAGCTGCTGGTCGCCAATTTCCACCACGTGCTGTTGGCGCGTGTGTGACTTGCCCTCCTCTTCCGAGCTCCTCCCCTGGTACACGTACACGCGGCGCTCAAACTCGCCGATGCAAGCCAATGATCCCGTCGGGTGGAACGACATAAACTTCTTTTCTTGCTTCGACGCCTGCACGAAGCCGAACGCTGGCAGAGTGGCCGTGTGTCGCAGCGAAAGGTGACTCGATGCTACATTCAGCTCGAAAACCAGGCCGTGTACATCGTTCCGGAAAAGAAGTGTCGGCTTGAAGGCGCTGGAGCTGTTCGCACGAGCACCCGGACACAAGAACTGGAAATTCCGGCAGTCGATATCTAGTTGCTGCTGTACAACCTTCTGCTCCAAGTTGATGAGCAATAACGTCGCCTTGGCGTTCGGATCTTCACTGTCACATTCCTCAAAGCCACTGAGAATGGATTCTGCAGTCGGTATCTCCAGAACTCGATCATGTTGGCTTCCAATGCTCTCCCTGCGGTAACGCGTCGAGATGTCGGGTGCGCCGTGGAGAGGCACATCGACTGAGCTGAATGGGGTGCTGGACTTGTGGAATCGTTCACTTAGCGGCGTATTAAAGTCGATCGATGCCAGCTCATTCGGTTCCTTAGGTTTGGAGATCTCTCCGTGGAAGCCAATTCCTGCTCTAGGGAGCTTGGAAAGCAGCATGGCCATCTCATCGTCGTCCAGCACATCCTCACCATGAGGACGTTTATGTGGCGGCGACTTGCCAGTCGTTGATGTAGTTTCTTCCACAGATGTCTTAGTCTTCTTTTTTGATACAAGCTCCATGAGCGATTGGTGTGAGCCTTGCACTAGTAACACCACCTCAGGTCCCCTCAGCGAGACGTATACCGGCAAATCCGACACCACAGCAATTTCCATCGTCGTGTGTTGTACTTCAACACGCTCATTGTCAATCTCCATGGTATCTTTTGCAGCTGCTGCCAGAATTGCATCGATCAGTGAGACTCGAAATGCCCCATCAGCTTCATTCCCCGAGAGAGGTTCTGCTACCACAACATGGATGCGTTTACTCTGCTCGTCATAAAATGCTCCAAGTAGCAGAAGCGGTACGACGCCCCATGGCGCGCACTCGTGCACCAAAGCCCATTTTGCTCCTTTTTGGTCGTTTTCTGCTTTCAGGAAGTGCAGTGTTCCGTGCCCGTCGCAATACACGACCAACCCTTTGCCGGCCACCTGGATGGAGACATTTTCCTGTCTTGACGTCAACCTAGGGAAGCTAAAGAGCTTCTCGATCTCCACGTTATCTGCCTTGCGGCCCACCACCTGCATAAGCTGATACTCTGTGTCCACGAAATACGCCACGCTAGCTCCGAAACTACTGCACAGGAACGGATCAGCTATCAGCGCGTTGTAGTGAGCGCGCGACTCCCACTGCGCCTTGCGCGTGCTTTGACCTGCGTCCAGCGGAATCAACGTCGGAGCGGACAACGAAGCAGCACGTTTGGAAATCCCATCGGTAGCCAGCACGTAGCGGTCAAAATCTTTGTCGATCAGCGAGCGATCCACATCCATTATTAGAGAGCTTTAGTTTCTAGAATAACGCAAGGCTTGGAATAACGATTATCTGCATAAAATCTGAATAAATGACGGATAGATTACCAATCGATATTCCATTACTTTGATCCTTCGCTATTCCACTGGAATATATTTCTGGACGAAGAAAATTCTTTTTCCGAAGCCTGAATTTTCCAGAATCTTAAGTTCTCTATTGTGGCAGTTTATGGCAGTAGTCACCTTCGCAATGGCGGAAGACAAGATGCCGACAATGGTGGAAATGCAGCACCAGATCCGCGCTAACGCGTCCCAGCTGCAGGACTACTTTTCAGATTTGTATGCGTGGGAGAAGAGTATCGACAAGGAGGACTCGATGCGCAAAAGGGCGACGAAAACTGCGAAGAGCTCAGCAACACCACCTGCGGCTCCACCGCCACGGGTGGCAACGACCGTCGGCGTCGGCAGTAGCGATGAAAATGCAAGGACTGTTAGTCTGAAGAAACTGGATGCACATACTTACGACAAAGGGTACAAGCGCTGGGAAAAGTTCGACGTGGTAGAGTGGTCTGTACTGCTGCTACTGCGGTAAGGGTGCTAAAGTTTTCTGCTATGTGGATTGTAGGACACTGCATTAAAAGAAGCGGACGAAGAAGGAGATTGTAAGCAAAAGAACAAGCAACCCTCGGCACTTGTTCAGCCTTCAGGCTCTGCTCCGACTGCAATGGCTAAGACTTCGGTATCTTCGACGACGACGAAAAGTCGGGAGGAGCTAGAGAAAGAAGAAGGCAACGCCCACTACAAACGGGGTGACTATGTGGCAGCGATCAAGAGTTATACACGCTGTCTCGGCTACAATCCGCAGAACGCTGTGGTGCTGTCGAACCGTGCCATGGCGTACTTAAAGAACCGCGAGTATGCCAATGCTGAAGATGACTGCTCACTAGCACTAAGGGCTGACCCGGCGCATGCCAAGTCGTGCACGCGTCGAGGAACTGCACGTAACTCATTAGGAAAGCACAGACTTGCGCTACTCGACTTCCAGCGGGCCGCTACGTTGGATCCGAAAAGCCGTCAAATCCAGAAACAGTTGCAGTCGACTCGAGAGCTCATCCGAACGGCCATCAAGCGCTCATCGAAGCGAACAGAGTTCTCGATTGAAGTTGTTGGAGGCAGTTCAAAGGCCAAGCAAACTCATCCTGAGCACGACGGTGATGTCGACAACAAGGAAAACATTGGATCACAACCAGAGACTTCTCCTGCCATGAAGAAGATGCCTCTCCCGCTGGAGGAAACAGGTTCGAACTTTCAGTCTTCACCCACGACGACGTCGGCGAAATCGACGGTCGAGAAGACGAAGAAAAAGAGCTCGGGTACACTTCTAAAGATCTCCAAGAAAGCTCCAGCCACTTCGTACGAGTTTGGACGCGTATGGAAGACACTTGTCTTGCGTGGAGACGCAGAGCAGAAAAGTCGCTTGCTCAACTTGCGTGCCGAGTATCTGCGACTGATCGACCCTCCTGCTCTAAGCTCGATCTACAAAACTGGGATGGAATCAGATATACTGTGTGAAATTTTCCACGTCCTCCGCAAAGCCGTACTGTGTAACTCATCAGTGGATGCTCTAAAGCCGAACGAGAACGCTTCGTTTTCTTTTGCATTTGCCCAGGAGCTCACGAAAGTACCGCGCTTCAATATGACGATCATGCTCCTGTCCGGCAGCGAGAAGGAAGATATGACATGGGTCATCAAGCGTTTGGAAGATCTGTCGAAGGACGACAACGAAATTCAAGCGCAGGAAATTAATAACCTCAAAAAGCTGTACGAGCTACCCTGATATCGTAGCAAAGCGATGCATAAGTAGATCAAACAAACGTAAGACAGTTCTTTTATCAAATCTAGCGCTTTACTCTCCACCTCGTCACTCTCGTCTCACTTGCTGCAGCTCTTGGTAGCTATTCTGCACGTTGCAGCGTCGACGAGCGACGACTGCGTGAGCTCCTGCTCCGAGATCTTGTAGAATTTCTTGATAAGTTTGATGTCGCTGTCGGTCAGGTGCGTGCCGAGCTCTTCGAATGGCACCTGCATGCCTTCCACCAGTGTCTCCGCCTCCTCTAGCGTCGCCTCGTCAGCGTCAAACACGCAGATCACGAGCGATGTGGTGTCGTCGTTGACTCCGAAGCGCTTGAAGGACTCGGACACATTACGCGACCCAGACATGTTGAAGACCAACTCGGCGTGCAGACTGCGCGTGGTCAGGCGGTTGGACGCATCGCACAATAGAGCTCGCGAGGCAGCAGCATGGACCTGGAATGGGCCGGCGATCTAGCAAAAAACGAAAAAAAACAACCAGTAGTTGTTAGGCATCATATACCTAGCAGTTAGTGGAAGGATTGTCATGAGTATTATACCAGGTGTGCATTGATCAGTGCGACGTCGAACTTCTTGTCCAGTAGACCTTGTCGCAGCGTCGGGCTGTTCTTCACGTCCGTATAGTAGCCCACATGGAGCGTCCTGTAGTAATGCTAAGTCAGTTGGGATGCGTAGGAGGTTACGAGATTGTCGGGGCTCACCGGTTGCCAAACAGTGCGTAGGTGTGCTTCTCCAGAGTCATCATCTTTTGAGCTTCGTTGATGTCGATTGGCAGCAATGTGACGGGAAATAGTGATACAGTACATGTATAGGCAAAACTGATATCCTTCCAAAACAGATCTTAAACAAAAGAATAGTACCCCTGGGGTACTGCAGTGGTGATGTAAATCCTTGTACCTGGCTGGTATTGTCAAGTTATAAGCTACTGGTGATGCATACATGTAGCACCTTCAGCAATTCTAGAATTTGGAATTTGCAGACGCACACAGCATATAACACCATCACAACATTGTTCAAAACTCGCTGATTTTATAATCTTTTATCTCAGCTTCAGCGCGAGTCTCCAAACGAAACTCCAAGAAAAAGTGTTGGCGAGACGACCCGATTTGATCCTTGATTATGTTGGTTTACTCGACAAAAGAAAGTTTGAAAAGAAGCACTCATTGAGATTGTTTTTTCATCAGTTTTTTAAGAGAGGATAAACTAATTTTGTTTGCCTTTGATTGCCAGAAGTGACGAACACCGGTGTTACACCGCACATGATATTGCATGTAGCTTGATCCGTTGGGCGGCGATGAAACTTTTCAACGATAGTGCCATTGTACCTGTCCCGTAATTCGCAGTGTCAAAAACTGTTTACACAGTTCATTTTGGTGTGCGTGTGAATATGAAACCTGCTTATTTGTGTATTACGAGCTCCCTGAGCCCGTAAGCCAACCCAACGACGTATTCATGCGAGTACGTACAATATTAGCGCATGGACACATGATCCTTGCAGCCACGAACTTAGCGATATGCGCATTTTGCCTCTAGCAGCGCTTATACAAACGATACGAGAATAAGCATGCAGCAATGATTGTTGATCTTTTCAAACTAGGGTAGTTCATTTGTTTTCGTGAACAATTATGCTGTCCCAGTGGGACTCCCACCGGTGGCTCGATTAGCTAACAGCAACGACTTCGATTATGGGGCCCGTGTATCTGGTTGGCCAAATTACATACTGCCCAATCAGCGCAACGTAGCAATTTCAACAGGGTCTCTGACACGGGTTTGCTTTTTTGGATCGTGCGGTCCAACAACGGGACTTAGTCATTTCCGGATTTTCTCCGCGGGACCCAAGCGATCCTCTTAACTTTTATATTCTGAAGCCATGGCTGACCACGTAGACAAGAAGCCGCGCATTGGCGAGGAGCTGTGCATCAACACGATCCGCATGCTGTCGGCTGACCAGCCAAGCGCTGGCAAGTCTGGCCACCCGGGTGCCCCCATGGGCTGCGCGCCCATGGCCCACGTATTGTTCGGTAAGACGATGAAGTTCAACCCGAAGAACCCCAAGTGGAGCAACCGCGACCGATTCGTGCTGTCCAACGGACACGCTTGCGCGCTGCAGTACAGCATGCTGCACCTGACGGGCTACGACTTGCCCATTGAGGAACTCAAGAAGTTCCGTCAGTTCGGCTCCAAGGCCCCCGGCCACCCGGAGAACTTCTGCACGCCCGGCGTTGAGGTGTCCACTGGTCCGCTTGGCCAGGGTATTTCTAACGCTGTGGGTCTGGCCATTGCTGAGAAGCATCTGGCCGCCGAGTTTAACAAGGACGACCTAGACATTGTCGACCACTACACGTACGTCATCTGTGGCGATGGCTGCTTGCAGGAGGGCGTCTCCTCGGAGGCCTCATCGCTGGCCGGCCACTTGGGCCTCGGCAAGCTCATCGTACTGTACGATGACAACCAGATCACCATCGACGGCCACACCAACCTTTCGTTCACTGAGGACGTGCAGAAGCGCTACGAGGCCTACGGCTGGCACGTGCAGGTCGTTGATGACGGCAACTACGACCACGCCGCCATACTTAAGGCCGTTGAGACGGCCAAGACTGTGACCGACAAGCCCTCGCTAATTAAGATCCGCACCACCATTGGCCTGGGCTCCAAGCTCGAGAACACCCACTCGGTGCACGGTGCCCCCCTGAAGGCCGATGACCTGTCGGCCACTAAGGAGAAGTTCGGCCTTAAGGGCTCGGAGACCTTCTTCGTTCCGGAGCAGGTCAAGAAGTACTACGACAAGACTGCGTCGGGCGCTGAGCACGAGAAGAAGTGGACCGAGCTCTTCGCTAAGTACAGTGAGAAGCACCCGAAGGAGGCCGCTGAGTTCACGCGCCGCATGGAGGGCAAGCTGCCGGCCGACTGGAAGAAGAACATGCCCAAGTACACGGCTGCGGACCCTGCCAAGGCTACCCGCCAGCACTCGGAGATCGCGCTGAACGCCGTGGCCACGGCTCTGCCCGAGATTGTGGGCGGCTCCGCCGATCTGACCCCCTCCAACCTGACGCACCTGTCCATGTCGGGTGACTTCCAGAAGGATACGCCTATTGGCCGCTACATCCGCTTCGGTGTGCGTGAACACGGAATGGCTGCTATCTCGAACGGCCTGTTCGCGCACGGTGGCGTGCGTCCGTTCTGCGCTACTTTCTACAACTTCATCGGCTACGCCATGGGCGCCGTGCGTGTGAGCGCTCTGTCGCGTTTCGGTGTGATCTACGTGGCCACGCACGACTCGATCTTCCTTGGTGAGGACGGACCCACCCACCAGCCCATTGAGATGAACACGGCGCTGCGTGCCATGCCCAACATGTACGTGTACCGTCCTGCTGATGGTAACGAGACTGTGGGCGCGTACATCGCTGCTGTGGAGAACCAGCACAAGACGTCTGTGCTCGCCCTGACTCGCCAGGGTCTGCCGAACCTGGCCCACTCGACGGCTGAGGCTGTGGCCAAGGGTGCCTACATCGTCGCCAATGTCGTTAATGGCGCCGAGGTGGAGTCGCTGGAGGGCGAGCCGGACCTCGTTCTCGTAGCCTCTGGATCGGAGGTGTCGCTGGCGATTGACGCTGCTAAGCTACTGACGAGCTACAAGGTGCGCATTGTGTCCGTGCCGTGCCGCGACCTGTTCGACGAGCAGTCGGTCGAGTATAAGAAGGAGGTTATTGGCGAGGGCATCCCCGCCATGAGTGTGGAGGCCGCCGCCACCTTCGGCTGGTCAACGTACTCGCACTCGCAGTTCGGTCTGGATCGCTTCGGCGCTTCGGCCACTATTGCCCAGCTGAAGGAGCACTTCGGCTTTAACCCGAACACGGTGGCTGACGAGGCCCGCAAGCTGGTCAAGTTCTACGACGGCCGCTCGGCCCCGAGCCTCTTCGATCGCCCCGCCCAGCGCGTTCTCAAGGCCGCGGATCACTAGGCAGCTTGTAGTTTGGTACTGACGCAGTGCAAGTGAAGTGTTGAACAAAGCTAGTCATGCCACTTCAACGTCTGGCTCGTCTCACTTAAGTCTTTAAGAATCAGATATCTTTCTCTTCTTCTATGGTATTGGTCAATAGTCTAAACAGTTTAACCCTATCAAAGCCGTGGAATCTTTTGGTTACTAATTCAATTTTGAACTTAAAAAACGCAAATACGGCAGTAGCTTGGACCTCTGAATGGCCGTCTCCCTGAGCTCCTAGTGACGAACCCAGCGGCATATTACGCACATCGGATAAGGAGTATGGATCCTGCTGTCTCACCGGCCTCTTCGGACAGCAGCTCTTCACCTCCTTCTTCCTGTAGAGGCCACAAGATCCGTCCCAAGTCGACCAATATTTGCAAAAGACCCTCGACGCGTCGAGAGCTCAAACGCTCCATCGAGAAGAAGTTCCGGCTGCGCTACACAACATTACAGCAGGCTTACGAGCAGCGACTAGAAGTGCTGGCTGCGCGCGTCCAGGAGGTCGTGAGCCTGGTGCACGAGGACCCTTCTGTTCATTCTTTGAAGGAGAATGCGTTGACTCACGAATATGCGAGCGCTCGGCTAGGCGAGATCGTCCAGGAGTGTTTCTACGGGGAGAGGGAGCGCTACGTCAAGGCTATGAGCGACCAAATCGCATGGCAAGCCAGTGATTTACGAGAAAATCAGCAGAAACTGAAAATTGTGCAGAGGAGAGAAGGCGAAGCCCAGAGACAGTGGAAACTCGCGCAACGAGACGTCCAGGCGCTGCATCATCAGTTGGATGTGCGAGTGAATGAACTACACGAGCAGAAGAAATGTGAAATGGGCTTTAAGACACAGTGTAGAGCTGTGACGGAAGAGCGAGATGCTGCGAGGAAGGAGGTGGAAGTTTTGAAGCAGAGCGTGCAGACGATGGAGACGTTGCAACAGGAGTATGAAGCACTGAAAGAAAGGATCCAACAGGAAGGGAAGGAAGAACTGGCTGCGCGTAGTGAGCTGGAGCGAAGTATCACGCAGCTGCAAGACGCGAGAAATGTACGTTTGGTGGCATTCTTTGCTGCGTATGGTTGGTAGTGACATTTTTTATCTGTAGAAATTGGAGCTGGAGAAGCAGGCGAGTGCACAGGAAGTGACGCATTTGAAGCACTTGCTGGCGATCTCGGAGGGCAAAACGCGGGAGGTGGCGCAAGCTTTGCAGCAGTTGCAGAGCGAGGATTATCCGAGCAAGTTGGCACGCGTGGAGTCGGAGCTAGCACACGGGCAGCAGATATCAACGCTCGCTGAAAAAGACCACGAGGACTTGAAGCGAAGATACCGAGAGTTTGGCGAACAGGTGGAGCAGTACATGAACGAGCAGACGGAGGAAAAGGCCGCGATTGCCTTGAAGGGTGAAGAGCGGGTAAAGCAGTTGCAGACGCAGCTGGACAGTGTTGGACGACAAGCTCAGGACGCGCTCAAGGCCAAGCAGAACGAGGTCACGCGGGCGATGGATCAGCTGAAATTCAGACAAGAAGCGTTGAGCAAAGCGGAGAAGAAGATTGCGTCGCTTTCAGACTGTGTAAAAGCGACGGAAGATCAGCAGGTAGAGACGAGGCTGCGGCATGAGAAGCAAATTGGAGGCCTGGAGAAGGAGATTATTCACTGGCGACACGCACTCGAACAAGAGCAAGAAAAGGTTGCCAGTCTTCAGAAGGCGCTAGCGGAGAGCAAAGACAAGTACGAGCGTAAGATTGTGGCTCTCCAAGACGCGATAACTCGGCAAAGCCGTCAAGGGGCGCATGAGAAGGAGCTCGAGGCTCGTACACGCTGGCAAAATGAGTTCGTTGCGAAGCAGGACGCGCGAATTCAGGAGCTGAAGGAGAAGTACGACAGTGCTCTGGAGAACCAACAGACGGAGCTGCTTCAAGCTCGACACATGGCGCTGGAGACAGCGAATGCTGCAGCGTCCACGTGGGAGAAGGCCAAGCTCGCCCAGAAAGAGGAGGAAAACTTTGAACGAAGAAGACGAGCCGAGGATGCAGTGCGTGAGAAAGAGCGTAAGGAAGAGCAGCGAGCACTTCAAGTGGCTCAGAGGCGGATGCAACAAGAGTTCGACGAGCGAGAGAAGCGACTTATGGAGCGTGAAAGAGCTTTGGTGGAGAAAGAGAAACGGGAGGAGCGTCGACGACAAGAAGAGGCGAAGAAGACAGCTATTGCGTCACCAGTAGCTGCAACACCAAGTGTCGTCGTCTTGAATGTAAGCTCCACAGACGAGGAGGTTGGAAAGCATCAAGGATCAGGAAGTGCGGTGGTTAAGGTGGCTTCAAAAGCCCGTCGACACAGTGAAAATTTTGATCGACAGGAGCTGGAAGGTGGTGATAGCATCCTCTTAGCGCAGCATACTGCAGAGATAGAAGCCAAGGAAGCTCAAGCTGCTTTGCGGGCGGAAGAGAGGGTGCAGAAACTCATGCGGGAGTTCCAGGAACGCAAGGAATCCGAGTTTCGGGCGGCGATGGTGAACGTGAGGAGAGGCATTCAAAGACTGGAAATCTCTCTAAATGAAGCAAGAGCAGAGAAGAAACGGATTGAAGAGCAGCTACTGGGTGAGCGTCAGGCTTTCGCTGCTCTCAAGAACGAGTATGGAGAATCCAAGGAGGCCAAGCGCACGATCGCGCAGAGACTGGAGGAAGCGAACGAGAATGTCGGCAGGCTTCGTACTGTAGTAAGTGACCTGCAAGCCAAGTGTCACTCTCTAGAGGAACAGTGTAAGACTGCAGGCATCCAGAAAGAAGAGAGCCAGGCTGTGGCTGCTAGTGCTCAGAAATCCAACGAGAGTCTCCGTGAGCAGCTTGCGCGTCTTACTGAAGCGGCTGCTCGTCTTGAGAACTCTCTGGACACGTCAGTGGAGTCAAGCGAGCAGTCGAAGAAGGAATTGCTGGACCGGATTGCTGTACTCGAGCACCATGTTCAAGCTCGGGAAGAGCATTTCGAAGCGGAAATATCGGCTATTGAGATGGAAAACAACCGCGAGCTGCGTAATGTGTCTTCGCAGTATGATACGCAGCTGCGCAAACTCCAGGAAACGATTGACAGGGCACAACAGAGACACTCGGAACAAGAAGCGAAGGCCAATCAATTGGAATTGTCGGTACGCGAGTTGACGGCTGCGAAGGATTCTTTGGAGACATTGGTGGAAAATATGAAGACCGAGAGTTTGAAGCAGCGCAAGGATTTTGCTGATCTATCGCGAATGCACAAGAACCTCACGGACTCAATGAATGGCCGAGTAGATGCTGCAAATCAAGCTCTGGAAGACGAGCGAAGTCAGCGTGTTACTGCTGAAATGAGAGCTCTAAAGGCTGAAAAGCTTGCGGAGCGAGTCAAGATTGAGCGAGAGAAATGTCTGAGAGCGTATCGCCAAAGTCTTCAGCAGCTGGCACGTGAGTTGAAGGACGTTCGCAAAGGTGTTTCGAGTGACATGCAGGTTGGGTGGGTGCACTGGCAGAAGGAGCTCACTTTGGCAGGCGTTGAGTGGAAGAAGCGCACAGCTGAGCTGCTGCAGGAGGCTGATGCAGTGTGGACACGCAGAGCCAAGCAGGACAAACAACAGTGGAAGAAGCTTATGAGTCAGAAGGACAAGGAGATGGATGGACTGCTTTCAAGTCAACGTGTCAACGATCAGGTCAAATACGACCAAGTTGTTGCCAGACTGGAGAAGAAGTCGAGAGAGCTGGAGGAGCTGGAGTCCCGACTTACGACCGCAGTGGATCTAAATTCTGACTTAGAACGAGCGTTGCAGAAGCTTGAAGAGGAAAATAGGCTTCGGTTGGTCGATCTGTCGAACCTTCAAGAGCGATTGTCTGTTGCACAGGCTGCTACGCAACAAGAAAGGGAAGAAAAGGAGCGAGTGAATGCTCTCTTGAAGACGCAGAAAGCCATGTGTGAAAGATACCGCAGTTTTGCTGCTTCTCTGGCTGAACAGGGAGGAGCAGAACTTACAGACAATGTGCTGAGCGACGCGAGAGCTGAGCATGAGGACGATCAATCTGCTTGGAATCTACGCGTGTTCTCTGATGATCTGGCCAAGCTGGCGACGCGTCTTCAAGAAACGCAAGCACAAGCGATTCGTAAGGCCATTGCAGAGGCGACGGTGGACACGAAGGAAGGCGTGAGTGGCCCGCTGTTGTCGGAGCTGGAAGCTGCAAAGAATGCGTTGAAGTTTTTGTGGAACGAGAAAACTGGTGCCGATGATAGAGAGTATGACGGTCACCTTCCATGGTATGCTCGCACAGCCAGGACGGTTAAGAAAGAGAGAGAAGCACACGAACAAATGCTGTCGGCAATACAACGAGATATCGCAGCGAAAGAAGCGGAGAAGATAAAAATATTGGACAGCAAAGTGAAGTGGCAAGAGGCGAACAACCTGCTTCGTTTCGAGAAGGATACGCTGCTGCGAGAGATGGATCTGCTTCAACAAACACTGCAAAAGCGAAAAGAGCAAGAGCTTCTGGAACTCCGAGCGGAGTATGACGTGCGGATCGAGCAGCTGAAACAGCGCCACGATCGCGTAATTATCAGATCGGACCAGGACTTGGAGGTACGTTCATTGGAGGGGGGGGGTATCATTTGGCCTGCTTTTGACAAGCTTGCGTGCGTAGACTGCCATGGGCCAACTGAGGGATATGCTGGAGTCGGAACGACGAGCTACCAGTCATGCGAAGAACGAGCTTATGGAGTCGGTATGTTGTATGCTTTCCTGGATATAATAATGATCTACTAACGGTATGTTCTCGCAGAAAATGGCGTTAGAGCGGGCTGAAGAAGACTTAAAAGAAGCGCAGCAAAAGCTTGACAAGGAGACGGATGAACTTCGAGAAATGGTAGGCGTTTGTCGTCAACAGCATCGATCGATGCCGTCTGCTAACGGGTGTTCTTTTTTGTTCAGGCCAGCAAGTGGAAGCGGAAGGCCAAGTTAGCCACGAAGAACGGAGGCACTGGAATGTCATCACAGGCGAATTTGCACATGTCATCGTCGTCTCTCGGAACAGAAGAAGACTCGGACGCGTCGTACCGCATGATGTACCCGCAGTCGCGACGAGCATCGAACGCCATGGCAGACTTATCGAACCTGATGGAACAATCCCTCGTGAGTATCCGGAAGGAATCGCTGGTGCCTCCGACTACACGGCACCGATAGACACTAGCAGTCGCTACTGTACATTTATAAAAAATCTAGCCATATTGAAAACACGCGCACACGCACAGGTGTACACAACATGTATCAATTTATTGCTGCAGCAGCTCCTGCTTCCAAAGAGCAAGCAGCTTGCGCAGTTCCGGCTCCTTGTCAGCCACCACCTTCTTGGCAGTAAGCTCGCGCTGACTGCTCCCGTTCGTTGTAACGAGCACCTCGTACTCGTCACCGCTCGTGTCGTCAAAGTCGTGCAGCTCGACATGACCCGAGATGTCGTCACCACTCTCCCAAGCAAACTTGACGGACAGCTCGTAGCCACAGCGCTTCTTGCCGCGACTGAAGACAACCTACTCGTCCGTCAAATTGACCCACAAATCCTCAGCCACACGTGATACACCCCTCGAAATGATTTCGATCCACATACCTTGGCCTCTCCGTCGCAGCGTACGAAGGTCGTGGCCTTAATTGATAATCCCTGTGCTTCATCCTCAAAGCTGAAAGACTCCAGGATGTGGTGTTTGAGCCGCTCACGAGCCCACTCGGACTTGTCACGCTCCTCCCTGATCCAGAGCCACAAAAGTTCAGTTAAAAAAATCTTCTGCTGCTGCTATAGACAGGAAAATCCTCGACGCACCAAGTGCCTGCACTGTTCCAAACTGAGCTGGAGTCGCTCCGACTAACGGGAGCCGACACCGCCGCTTCATTGTCGATCCGCAAAGGAGTGAAGTCCTACATCGAAATGTTACCGTCATTAGCGCATTTTAGTCGCAAAATTTACCACAGAATTAAGCGAACAATAGTAATCATACCTGCGACGTCTTTGGGATCGTCTTCATCCAGCCGTGGTAGCCGCTGTGGAGCTTCTCGTCGTCCGACATGGTTAAATCCTTTGCTGGAATATTCGATTGTGTCACCAAGCCTGATGACGATATTTTGTTTTCCACCAATCAAAGTATGTAGCGTTTCCGATTCGCTAAATTTTATTGTGCCGTAATATCAACCAATGTGCATCTTCCAGCATCCACAATAACGAAGCGCCCTGCGACCATGACGAGTGTCTGGAGCGCGCACGTGACCAAAGAGGGGCGGACATACTACTACAATCGCAGCACCAAGCAGAGCGCATGGGAGAAACCCGCAGACTTTGACGGCGAAGAGCCTAGCGCCGTTGCTGCGACCCCAACTTCGTCCAAAAAGGCCGAATGGGAGGAGCTTTGGGACCCCAAGAACGAGCGCGCCTACTACTTCAACCGCACGACCCGCAAGACCCAATGGCAGCGACCCGAGGGCGTGGAGATCAAACCGCATGCGGGAGCCACAGAGAAGCACAAGCACCACAACAAGACCAAGAAGACGAGCGAGGAGGCCACTATTAGGGATGACAGCGCCGAGTCTGAGGAGACTCAGAATCAGAAAGTTGAAGACCAGAATCAGATTCAACAAGAGAGAGAAGAACCTGCCCCAGAAACAACAACCCACTCGAGGAAGAAGAAGAAAAAGTCCAAGAGAGAGAAGGTGGAGCATGTGCCCGTCGAGAGTCAGAGGAAGCGACGTCGCCAGGACGAGAAGAGACTCATTATCTGGGACGACGAGGAGCAGGACCACGATGCAAGTAAAGATATCGAGGAGAAGGACACGGAGGACGGCAAAGAAGCCACCAGGTTGTTGCAGGAACTGTCCAAGACTGATGCCATCATGGAGGCCAATGTATTGGCTGTAATTAACGGCTTCTTGAGAGCTCACACGGAGTCTAATGGGCCTGAAATCCTGGTGGAAAAGCTGTCGTCGTCGTACCGTGGCCACGCGCAGATGATTGGACTTGTTGCCTCCTGGCTGGACACGCTGCCGGTGTCAACGACGGCGTTGGAGAACAAAATGACGTTCGACGTGAGTGAAGGAGCAGTGATTGCCAATAAAGGAGCATCGTGGGACCCAGCGGAGGAGATTCTGTACAGCCATTTGAAGGACATGGTCGACGAGAATTACGACCCGAAACTCGTGTCGAACGTCCTGAGTGGATCGGCCGTGGAGCCTGAATGGCTGACTCAGATGCTGAGCGACCGAAAGTGGCGACTGATGCTCATTGAACTCGCGGAAACACACAAGGTGTGTGCAGCTGCTGAACTGATACTGAGAGGAAGAGTGTAGTGTTACTGATACTGCTGTGGTGGTTTGTGTATTTGTTCAGACGTGTACGTTGTTGCAGTACGCTATTCGACGCATCTCGGAAGCAGGTCACCACAAGGAAATTGCGTCAATCACAAGTGCGAACGCGTTCTTCCCGGTGTTTAGTGGGGTGTTGGTGGATGCCTTCAGCCGCGTAAGTGTGCCTCGATATCGCTGCTTTTTCTAAATGTAGAAATAGCTAACTAACGAGTATTGTTCCATGACTTTTACAGATTCCATTCGCTAACGAGGAAGAGATGGTGGAAGATATCGCAGCTCTGAAGAAAGTTTGCTGCCAGTCTTCACACTCGTACGTCTACGCCCAGGAACTGCTCTGCTCGATGGACGACAAGCTGTACTTGATGCAGAAGGATGCAGATGCTACTAGTGCTGAGTACACGCATATCCGTATGGTGCGATCAAAGCTGAATCGTGTACATGGAGAGCTGCAAGAGACAGCCAGCACGAGATTTGGCGCGAAAATCGTTCCGTTCCACATCTTGCGTCGCCGATACATCTACGACGCGAACACAAAGTTCTGTGACGCAATTCTGTCGATCGTGAAGACGAAGAAGTGCTCGGAACTGAGTGCCGAGGCGTTGGCAAAGGAGTATCAGACGTCCAAGACGCCACCACCAGTTGCTCATCTGCGAGACCCCATGGTGCGATTTAATATCGATGGACGATGGCTTACAGGTGACTGGAGCATTAACTGAGTTTCGTTATGCCTGCGTCTAGGTCCTATCAAGTCTGCTAGATCGACTTTTTAATCCGTCGGACTCGATCTCGCCTGCATTCGTACAGAACTGCGTGTTCCTGCTGGCGTACGCGGCATCCACGAAAGATGATCGGAGTTTGCTGCAAACAGGAGTCCAGGGCTCCTCAGACCAGGTCGAAGTGGACGATGACGGCGTTGAGTCCACGAAGAAAGCTCTCGTCGAGGCTTCAGCGATCTGCAAGTCGGACCACACTATTGGCTACAATGTGAGGCATACACGGCTGCGTATTCGCTTGAAACTGACGATTCGTGTGCCCGTTTGCTAACAGATGAACCAATCGGGAGTGGTGGACAAGCTGATCTCGGTGATGTCCGTCCCTGTCGTGTCCATGGGTGTGCTGCACTGGCTGGAGGTCATCCTCACTTCTCCAGGGCTCTTTAGCAGCACACCACTGCACATTTGCTTCCCCAGTCTGCTGCGGATACTGAAGGCATCGATTAAGCTTCACGTTGCTCAGTGGCCCATCTCTTTTGGTGTATTGGTGACGTCGCTGCGACTTCATCCTGACGTGAACCCAGTGAAGGCTTTGGAGCTGAAGCGTGAGACGCTCCGGTGTATGGTGTTTATGATCACAAGTGGCTACGTCCTGCCTGTACTGGAGTTTGTGTTCACGAACACACTGGAGCTGGATCAAGCGCTACTGCGCAACTTCATTACGATGCTGTTCGCACGCATCGCGCCGCCGTTTTCGCCAAAGTTTTCTGTGGCTTTGACGAAAATTCTGACGCACCCGAAGGTGCAAACTGCTATCAAGTCGTGCCCGCCCGAGAGCAGAATGAAGCTGCGAGGGTTTGTGAGTTTCTGTAAGAAGAACCCAAAGGTGTTGTCGTCGGATCAGCTGCATGCGCTGACTGTGATTCAGGAAGGGAGAGATTAACACAACAGACAAGTGGTGAATACATGTATTGAAATGCAGACAAATGATGAAGAAGTTTGGGGACATTTGAGATTGAGGCGAGCACTGATTGAGCTGGGGAAATACTGTGAAGAAAAAGAAGAGATAGCTCGACCGGATTGATTTTATTGAAGCGGCATGACACTGTCCACGACGTGCTCCGGGAAGCCTACACTCAAGCACTGGTGACGCGAGATGAGTGTCTCTGGCGTCGTTCGAAGTTTCTCTCGCTTCTGCTCACTTTCCAGTTGGCACTTGGCCAAGTCTGCCTGCTGTTGAACTTCGCCTCTCGTTGCCTATGCTGGGGTCTCCTTTCCCTTCGGTCAGCCAGCGCGCGTCCTGGTGTCAAAAGCCACTTCATCAGCACATCCGTTGAAGTCACGCTGGTAGGCATCTTCGCGTCACCGGTTCAAGGTTGTTCGGAACGAAGTGTTTGTCGTTTGGAGTCGACAAAGTGTGGCTGGACAGCTGAAATAGATATAAGTAATTGAGTCCCGATTTCGAGGAGATCGAACAAGGAACTCTTGAGTTTTGAAATGGGTTCTAGAGATGGTGGAGGTGACGAAAGGTGGGGGGGGGGCTCAAACGATGTGTACGCTGAGGCTAGGAAAGATCGCATTCGGATTATGGCTATGGAAGAAGTGCTTAATAGGGAGCAACTCAGCGAATGCCTTTTTCGAAAGAGGAATGCAATGAAAGACAACACGCACGATGTGGGCACGACTTAGGAAGGGCCTAAAGAAACAGGCGCTGAGGTCTTCAGAGCTAATGAAAGAAGTTCGTTATGCTCCCGTGGCTTTAACAAGTCAAGTAAGCTCTTTTGCAACCTGAGAACTCTTGTGCTGCTTACTACGAAACAAGAAATACATGGGAACGCCACCTCTCTGGGGGATCATGCTTTCCACGTCCTCCTCCGAGACACCGGCGACTCGCAGTTTGTGTCGTGAGAGCACCATCTCACATTTAGTTTGCAGTTCCTGCCGTTTCAGCTCCGCTTCGAACTGCAGCTTCGCCATAGCATCCACGTGCTCGATCTCGCGCTGAAGGAGCTGTTGGGCCAGCTTCTCTCCTTCTTCCTTCAAGCAAGGGGTCAGCTCCGCAATATTCGTTCCAACGAGTCTCGCTCTCTCTTTTGAACTCCGCAAGCGCCAGTGATCGTTCACCTAAAACAACAATAGATCTCACTGCTTCGGCAGATTTCTCCTCCACCCGTGTGTTATCCTGCTGCACCCGAGCAGAACCTGACTCTTCAAACGCTGATTGTCACCGAGAGCGTCCGAGCTGCGCTTCTGATGACCTTGGACAGGCAACTTGGCACGTTTCTGCTTCTCCTCAGCACTTCCATTGTCAATTGCATCCGTGGTCTGGTCACCGTGCTTGGTCCCACTACAAGCGTCTGTCGTGTGGAACACAGTTGAGAGCTCATAATGATGCAGGCACCGCTGCTGCACACCTTGCACTACACTCTCACTCGCCACGCCATCCATGTACGCTACAAGCTGCCCCGTTTCTCTCAACCAAGTTGTGGCAGTCTCGAATTGTTGTTCAACATCGATGAGACGGCGGCCGGTGAACGTGTTGCAGCCCCGTGTTTCTTAATCTCACCGGCGATTTCTTGAAGTAGCGACAGCTTCGCTCCAGATTTCCATCTCTTGTAGTTGCCTGGTGCTCTCAGCCAACGGACTAGTATGTCCATCGACGTCAGCGATCCAGGCTTCTCGCCATCGGTGTGCCAAAGCTTTGTCATCTTTGACAAGCAAAACGGGCTGTGCAATTTGCAATGTACAGTACTGGTGGTCTCTATGAGACCAGACCCAAAGAAAAACTATCGTTCCCAACGGTGGGATCGGCATTCGAGGACTTTCGCTTGGCTTGAAGACACGATGAGAATGACAGTCACGGCGCAGGGTGAGGGTGCGTCTGTGGTGCCTACACGGGCTCCTTGGGATGCAGACAGCGCAGCACCCGGTGGTCTCACGTCACTGGACGTGTTGCTAAAGTGGATGCTCACTCCCGGATGATACGAGTTTTTGCATGGCGATCAACGGAGCAGTGCCATCCACAACATTCTGGCTTCTCTAAAGAGGAACAACATTGAGCACCGCACGGAATCAAGCATTCGAAGTAAAATCTGCTCAATTGAAAGCCAATATCTCTTTGCGAGGCAGTGGCTGGAGGCGAGAAGCATCAACGGCGATGACGTTGTCACCGGCAGGGCGGATAGCGAGACACAGGCGGCAGTTCTGTCCATTTGTCCACACTACTGTGAGCTAATGCCAATCTTCCGTGACTCAAGCTACCTCAACGCCATGGCATCAACTCGAGCCCAAGGTGAAGTCGTGGATGAGAAGAAGGAGAAGCCAGCACGGTCAAAGGCGAAACGTAAGATGAGAAGCAAAGCTCAGACCCCGAGCAAACGCCGCCTGACTACTCCAGCTCAAGCTCAACCATATTCAGGCTTCTATGAGCACAAAGAACAAGATCGTGCGGATTTAGCCCGTGTGCTGGACTGCGTGCGTCGTACGACATACGGCAAAGTCCTTGGGAGTGAGCTTGATCTCAGTGGTGACCAAGACTGGTTCCAACGCACTGATCACTGCCAGCTCGTTCTCCGCGATTCAGATACTCAACTACCACCCGAGTAAGCGGGAAGTGGCCCAAATTCAGGTGAATCACGTCAAGAAGCAGAGTCAAGCTGTCCTCGAGAGCGAGGACAAGAGGCGAGTAGAAATGTTGAAGTGTGACGTTGACGTCAAGCGCGGTCGAGGTGAAGTCCAGTTGCTACTGGAGCGGATGCTGGCTCGGCAGACCATGAGGAAGGACGGCATCTCCAACGATGACATTGAAGTCGTCTTGCCGCTTAAGGAGCCATGAATCCGCAAGAGAGATTTTCTCAGGCGAAGGTGCTGTGGGCTTGTTGTGTATTAAACCACCCGCAATTTGAAGCGTCTCACTGGTATTGAATCTGAAGTTATTAGTGTACTTGAGGTTTCCCTAGTTCTTGTACTGCGCCACAGCTGCAGGATGTACTCCAAAGTGGACGGTTCTACCTTAAATCGTTGAGTCAACGGTTGGATGTTTATCAGCAAGAATGTGCAACACTCAACTCAACTCGGCGCGATCCTCTTGGCTGTTTTACCACTGCCCTTTTCGATCTGAGACCTGGCGCTCTTGACAGAACAAGCAGTGAGAAATCTCTGGCTCACGAAAATGAAGCGATCTACCCGACGGAAAGAAGCGTCGGAGCCAAAAAACAATTCACTTCAGGTCCATGAGACAGCGATGCTAAGGGCAATTGCTTGTCGTCACTGCTTGTCCTTCAAGGGTAGATGCGAATAGCAGGCAATATACCGTTGTGGTACAATAAAGGCAAGCGAGAGGATGCCGTGCACGAAATACAACGAGAGCTGAAGAAAAACGCCGTACAGATAAAGGCATTAAATTCAAGGTCCGTTGCTTGGAACGTCAATTTATGGCGGTGGTGGGATGGCTTGGCGAGAAGCAGATTCGAGTAGAAGATGAAGGACAAGGCGAGTATTGGCAAAAGATTTGGTCAAGTGCCCATTGTTTTGTGACGTTGTAGTACAAAGTTTTTACCTGTTCTGGGTCAGCTAACGATAGAAAACGAATCAAATAAGCACCACGCAAGCCAGCTTGTAGTCCACGAATCCTTAGGTAAAAGGAAGCCAAATACAGACGACTTAGCGCGCGATGTCAAAGCGTACGGAGCCAGCATCTTCAACCCGGATGTGCGCATGTCCGAGTTTTCGCCAGAGCTGCAGTAAAAGTTCGGGGAGTTGAAGCTGGATCATTTGCAGAAGATCAGCGAGGACATTCCGAAGACCAACAAGCAGAGACGCCAGTTTATGCTTAAAGTCGACTAGGAGACGCACAATGCGATGACCAAGATCGACATAAGCCACAAGAAAAGGCTCAATTATGTGTCTCTGGTGAAGGAGTGCTCTAGATGAGGAGATCGACTACATCATCGCAAATACGAGCGTTTTGGTTGGCCAGTAACTTCAATTTGAAAAGCAGTTAATTTTTCCACAAATCAGCATATATTTGTGATTATTACCCATCCACTTACTTCAGGATGCCGTTTGTGCCACTTCACGCTGAAACTGCTTCCACCCAATTCGTGATATTCCCATTCTAGCCGTGCAAATTACTGGCATGCCATCGTCGGATCCTGCGCCATCTGCTGTTGCCTCGAGCGCGCTGCCGACGTCTCCATCCTCCACCGCAGACGCTGGTGCTTCCAGCGACGCTTTGGAAGTCGCAAACGTGCCCGAGTCGCTCTACGTCGCGTCGTCTCCGAAGCCCGAGGCCGCTTCAAGCGTGTCCCGGTTCGCGCCCTTTGAGGAAAGCTATGACGACATGAACGAACTCCGTCGGGCTTTAAAGGTGCTCTCAGTGCAGAGAAACGCTCCGTATTACATGCAACACAGCAGTCCGCAGCGAGTGGAGGCCCGCTGTCCGTCCTGGAGACAGCGAAAACGTCCGAACAATCACTTGGGAGCAGCAGCAACTGCAGCTCCGATCTGTGACTTTGTGGTCTCGGCCAACCGCCACGCCAATGGCAGAGTGTATGTCACTCGAGCCATCTTCAATCACTCCCAAACATGTTCGGTACTCCACGCTCGTCTGGCTGCGAACGCCGAGGCCGCTACCGCCGACACAAATGCAGGAGAGAACGGTCGCGCGTCCACTGTCACAGCCTCAGCGCTCTTGGAGACCGCGCTGCCGTTTATGGGCCAGTTGGCCCATTCCAGAGGAGGACGAGACGCCGTCAAACCCAAAGATGTTAGTGACATAATGAAGGAGAAGTTTGGGGTCAAACCGTCCTACATGACGGCGTGGAGAGCTCTGAGTGCCTTCCGGAAGCAGAGAAAGGAAGAAGATTCGTCCTCGTACATGAAACTGGACGGATATCTGAAAGCTTTTGCCGAGACAAATGCCGGCAGTTTAGTGGCGTTTGAGCATCAAGACAACACGCAAGTGCCGCCCTCGACTAGTAGTAAGCCAAACGCCAAGGTGTTTGGACGAGCGTTCCTATGTCCTAAGCCACTCCATGACGCTCTGAGATATTGCAGAGGGTCGATGCTCCTGAGTGTGTTCTTGGTGACGTCGGCCTTTGGAGGAGTCGTGTTTACCGCGACAGCTCAAGACGCCATGGGTGACAACGTCCCCATGGCGATTGGACTCGCACCGGCCGAGACCGAGAACGACTGGAGGTTCTTCTTACTGCAGTTACGCCGTGCTTTCCCCGACTTGGAGCGCTCAGTCACGTCACTCGTGCACAACCGAGGCGAGGAACTTGCACGCGCGGTCCACTCGATTTTCCCCAACTGTCCGCAGTCCAACGAAGTCGAAATCTTCATACGTAGCCCCACAAGTGCTGTCTCGGATACAACTGGGGCCTCGACTACTGGAACGAGTGGGCCAAGACTGCCGTTGGATGCGTCAATGCAGTGGGTGGAAGCGTTGTGTGCCAAGTCTCCGCTGATGATTCTCGTGGGCTGGGTCTCGCAAGTCGCTAGAACATTGTTCCAACGCTATGAGCGTTACGGTCACCTCAGCGCCGAGTATCCCGCTGAGTTTCACTCCCTCGCGGCGGAATACGAAGGAGAAGCGTCGCGTTACGACGTGGTGCGCACCTCCGAGAGTGAATTTGAAGTTGTCGACCAGCAAACCAGCGCCGGAAGAATAGTTAACTTTGCCAAGCAGACGTGTACTTGTGGCGAGTATGACGTCTCTCGATTCCCGTGTCTGCATGTCTTCTTGGCAGTGACACACGCTGGAATGTTGCGGACGGATGTGATCCCACGCATCTTCCTCATGACGTCTCTGAAGACGCTCTACGCTGGACGCATCACGCCGATTGACATTGCCACCGTACCTTCCGACGAGGTGACCGTCCCGCAGCCACGTCCGAAGGCTCGAGGTCGGCCGCGCAAGGTGCAGCAAATCCAGCAGTTTGGCGACCCGAAACAGGAGAAACTCTCGTGCAGTCTGTGCGGGGTCAAAGGACACAACAAGCGGACGTGCAAGCGTGTGACCGGTGGATCTGCTGCGGCTCGTGACGAGCACACTGACGACGTGGCTGCTGGTCAAGACGACACAACTTTTCTTGTTTCTACATGTACGTTGATATCGTACTTCATATGATTGGTCTTGGGTGTTGAACTGACTTGGCTATTGCTGTGTAGATGGAGACGCCATTGCATTCGACAACTCAGCGATAGAAGGGGCTGATTCGGAGAGTCATGCGAGCGACGGACAGTCGCTACCCTTGAGCTCGGGCAAACGTCGACGACTTGCAAGAAACGACAGTGCGGAGGAAAAGAAGTCCGATGAAGGCGAAGAACAAGAGACCACGGGCATCGTATTAGTGTAGCAGTGCTGTAGTTTGACTGCAGCTCGCTCATAGTATCAGACATGCTCCTTGAAGAATTATTTGTCGCTCTGCTGGGTCATCGTAGCTGTTCGGAGACGGTTAATCGCGGCAGCCAACTACAAAGCAGCACGTCGATAAACACGATTGCAAGAGTGCAGGATATTAAAGCGACAGATACGCACCTCGAGCTTGCGGGGTCGAGTGTAAAACCCGGACTTCTTATGGCACCCAACAACGTCCAGCGAGCCTGTGCGGTCGAACTCGCCCTCAAGCTTGGCCAACACCTCCTGCGATGACACGAACGTCGTAAGCAATTACTGTTAAAAGACCCAGAGTAGCGTTGATTCTTAGTATTGAAGTACCTCAAGAGTACGCTTGCCGTCCATGAAGGAGCGAGCCTTTTGAATAGCGTCGGCAATGGTGCGCACTTGGCTGGGCTCCACGATCTGCTCCACTGCGCTCAAGTCGAGGTCAACCTAACACGACAATAACAGCTCAAAAGTGAGTCAAGACACGCAATGGTCAATTCTTCAGCTTCGTCCAGTACCTCGCCGTATTGAATTTTACCAAGACCGCGCGAGACAACCTTGCCATTGACCTCAAACCCGCGACTCAGAGGAATTCGCGGAGTATACCCGCCAAACTCAGCGTCCTGTCGGATCTCACCATGCTCATTTGCGATCTTCTTGGCCTCTGCCGTCACATCACGCGGCTCGTACGAGTCCATCATTACAACATGGTCGGCCACTGAGAAATAGTCACCAGCGCCGCCAATGACCAGCACCGACGACACGCCACGCTGTTTGTAGAGCGCCTGCACCTTCGAGATAAACGGCGTAATAGGCTCCTTGTCCTTGGCCACCAACTGCTGCATTTTCCAATCGCGGATCATAAAGTTGGTAGCACACGTGTCCTCATCGACCAGCAGCGTCGTGGCGCCAACCTCCAGCGCTTCAACAATGTTGGCTGCCTGTGAGGTGCTCCCAGAGGCGTCGGCAGTGGAGAAGCGAGTCGTGTCCTGTTTGAACGGCAAGTTGTCGATAAACGCGCTGATGTCGGTGCAGACAACGCTACGTGAGTCCTCTGAGCGGATTTGGACCGCATTGGGATCCACAGCCACAAACTCACGTCCATCCGACGGCACGTGGTTGTACACACCAACCTCCAGAGCCTTAAGCACCGTACTCTTACCATGGAAGCCTCCACCAACAAACAACGTCACACCCTGAGGAACCCCCATACCCGTGATGACTCCGCAGTTAGGAAGTGTGAACGTTCTACTCAGCGATTGCGGAGACTTGAACGGGATAGCTTTGTCCTTACTCAGCGGGAGATCCGACGCTCCTGACTGTCGAGGAAGCACAGCTCCATCACGAATGAACCCCACGAGGCCAGCGTCTTTCAGCATCCCTCTCAGCGTCTCCTGGTCCTCCACCGAGTGTAAATGTTTCCACAAGTGGTTCGCATCCAGAGTCCTGAGCAACAGCGACTGCTCTACCAGCGTCGGCAAGGTTTCTACCAGAATCGTGTACGCCCAATCTCCGCAAATGCTGCGGCCACGGGCCGGCAAGTTGATGTTGAATCTGGCCTCCACGTCTCCATTGGCCAGCACATTGACACTCGAGCGCTCAATCACATGTTGACCAGGAGTATCAATCGAGATATCTCCGCCCTTAGCTCCTTGCCAGGAATTGCTGCTAGTCTTGGCGTCGGCCCCACAGCTGCGAGCACTGGCCGCGAACATTCTGGTCAAATAGTCGCACAGGGCCACGTTTCGGATCTTGTCCTGGCGCATTTCGGCCGGGAAGGCGGCGGACTTAGCGGAGACAGTCACGTGAGCTCGCGACGGGCTGGCGTACGGGTCGCCTTGGATGTGGTCAAACTCCAGAGCGAAGCAAAGGCCATTGCTCTGGTACTCGAAGACACGCTCCAGTTCATGGTACGCGCCGTAGTTCCGGTTGTGAATCTCTTGCAAAACAGTTCCCAGTCGTTCCCATGAAGCAGTGGCCATGGGTGTACGCGGGCGGTCATTGGAGCGGCCACCATGACTACGGTCAAAACCTTCGCTATCCCCCCGACCACGGCCGCGGCCTCCTTGACCTCCTCGTCCTCCTCCGCGGCCACCGCCATACTTGTTGCGATAATACTCTCCACGTCCCATTTTGCGGCGTATCCAATAAAATTTGTGAATACAAATATTGTTTTTGACCTATTTACGTCAAGCAGCCCATTACCGTTGCTCTCATTTATCCGGCAAAGGTGAGAGTAGGTAGCCTCTGCGTGCACTGGGCGCTGCTCAGCCTAATGCCCTGCACTGCTGCACGGCAAGATTGTCACGACCGCCGCGGTCGCCGCGAGGTAGGCAATCCGGCCTCGTGATCTTTGAGTGCCAAACTTCAACCGCACCAGCATAAACTTTTGCTGGTGCAGCTTTAATTTTCTGTCCACGCAATTTGCTTTTTCGCTGCTTGAAACCAAACTTCAGTTGAGCTTCAACCAGATGCCTTACGGTAGCAACATCAACAGTGGCACTTGCTTGGTCTGAATACTGTAGTGTGAAAGCAATACCTGCAGTGCTGCAGCGGACGACATTATTAGGCGTGCTTGATTCATTGGCGCGAGCAAGTCTGACTGATGACAGCATGTACCGTAAGCCAACGAGTAGTAAATAAAGGGGCTCACGTGGCTTTCAGCAGATTAAAGCAACCACAGTTTCAATTTCGCCGACCAACGCGCAAGCACGGACTACACCACGCCTTCCAAGCTTAATGCGTAGTATCGGCGTTGCAGTGTTGCTGACGTCGGCTCTAGGCGCTGTCTGCCTCGCCGACAACCTCGACAAATACGGCGTATTCGGCCCCAAGAAGATCGCGCTGGGCTCAACGCCGTCTATGGATGGCCAGTCCTTCTCGAGTGGATTTACTCTATCAACGGAAGAACCGCTGGCCACCCTCGACTACGACTATGAAGTGGCAGGACTGCCGTACTTCTTGGTGTCCTCCGTTTCCAATGGACCTGTGGAGATCGAGGTCAAGTACGCTGAGCAGTTCCCAGCGCTCTCGCTCAACTACTCGGATGGACCATCGCAGTTCACCACTTCCATTGCCAACTCACGTCGTGTGGAGACTCACCGCTTCACGGAAGATGAAATCGGAGCCACGATCACCTCCGTGCTCAGTCAACCTGGCCAACGATGGCAGTCTCTTCGTCTACTGACCGGAGACTCCATCACATTTGAGACGGTCGGCTTACAGGCTTCTGTGGAGGTGATTGACGACCTGACCACTCTATCCGGCAAGTTTTCAAGCTCCAACGCCAAGTACGACGAGATCTGGAAGCTGGGGGCTCGTGCTGTGACTGCCGCCTGTTTGGATGCTGACAGCTAAGTGCCTTCGTGGAGCTCGTCCAAAGAGAACGGTACCTATGGGCTCCGGTACGGTACGCGTCCAGGTATTTCGTATCGCACATGGAACCTGACGGACTACGTGCTCACTTTCGAGTCGCAGATCATCCGTGGTGGTGCAGGCTACACCATTGCGTACGACCTCACAGGCAACCGTGACGGCGTGCAGATCCATTTGTCGTCCGAGTATCCGAGCGACACGACATCAACACGACTTTGTTTCCTGCCAACACGGTAACCCTTGCATACGGCTATGATTTTGTGAACGCCACCAGCATGACGAGCTACATTTTGGGTCAGTACGACGTGCCGTTCAACGTGAAAGAAAACGTCTGGTACCCCGTTGAGATCCGCGTCAATGCTACTGCTGGTAACATCGTGTTCTCCATCGACGGAAAGCAAGTATTCGATATCATTCTGACCGAAATGGGATTCACGGATGACCAGCTCTCCTTCTACGGTTATGCGTCGCGCGGTGAAGGTGCCATCGGCTTCGGTGGTTGGCAGGACCAGGCATCTTATGTTCGTAATGTGACGGCAACCAGCTTGTCGGACTCGTCCAAGGTGCTCTACTCGAACCCGATGACGGACGAGAGTGTAGTCGTACCAGAGTTTGGCGGTCAAAGCAACGCGCACGGCGTTTGCATGGATGGTGCCAAGCGAGACCGATACATCTGGCTGGGAGATTTCTACCACACAACGCGTATCATGGGCGTGGCCAACTCGAAGCCCGAGCAGATCGCTGGGACGTGGGAGTTCCTGTTCGAGTACCAAGCAGACTATGGTCAGTTTTCTGGTTTCGCACCGATCTCTTACCAATCGCCCATGCCCCTACCCGAAGTATTTCTCAACGATGCCGGCAAGGTAGATGCGTACTACAATTTCCCGGACTACGTGATCCTCGGAATGATCGGTTTGGTGTCTTATATGGACTACTTTGACGATGACGCCTTCGTAAAAGCCCACTGGGAGGAGTTCACCCGTGCGATGACATGGTTGATTGGCAACCAAGGAAGCAATGGGCTCATTGACTTGACGAAATACGTGGTGGTCTTCCTTGGACCCGGTGCGGGGATGGCTGTGAACGCTGCTGCTGTGCAATGTCTCGACGGTATGGCAGGTGTGGCTCGGGCCACAGGCGACCTGGAATCTGCAAACTCGTGGCTTCAGGTCGCTGCTAGTGTTAAGACTGCGATTAACGAACTGCTCTGGAACGATACACTAGGCAACTACGCTGTGGATGTCTCGACACCGGAAGTCTACGGAGTCTCGGCCACTGCGTTTGCACTCACTTCGGGCGTAGCCAACGAGACGCAGATCAAGCTGATAGTGGACGGCTTGGAAGGTCTGCGTCAAGGCCCGGGTTACCTTGACAGCAGCGATACCGATATTACTGCACACATCTCACCAAACACGAACGGGTTCTTACTCGATGTGCTCCTGCAACACGGATACACCGACCAAGCTGTCTTTTTGTTCGACAATCTCTGGGATGCCATGATCTCGAACGAGAACTTCCGGTCCGGAGCGAGTTGGGAATACGTTGCACAGTCGTTGTATTGATCTCTTCACGTCGTTGAGTCACCCGTGGGGTGGAGCACCTACCGATGCGTTGGTGGGCACGGTTGGCACGTTCGAGGTCGCCCAGCCGAGTTCGTCCACGGGGATCTACGAGCAGCACATTGCTGGGTCTGTGGAGGCCATTACCATTAGTGTCCAGCTTTAAAAAAAATCGTAAAATTGACGCAATCTTAACGATGTCTGCGATACTGGAAAATTCTCATTCTTCAGCTTCGCATATGCCAGCTGGCAAGAAGTGTAAATTATGGTTAAAATTATCTGCATTGATTTGGATTGTTCTGGGTTACGGTTTCTTGTTACCGGTATGCATCTTCCTCTCTCTCTTCCGGCGCTGTACGGCCTTCAACATTCAGCGTGGATTACTACCTCCACGCGCTTCTTTCCTTCTTCTTGGTGCTTCACCAACTCTAACCTGGGTCTGCTTCAATCGCCAACTTGTGCGGATTTTCGGCTCATACCATCCGCCATTTGCTTCTACATTCTGGAGAAACGTCAATACCTTAATACAAAACACTGCCAGCCTCCTTCCAAGGCTGAACTGCATACTCACACATGTCGATAGTCTTACGCTCATCCAAACATGCGACGTTTGATCTCCGTGCTCAGCATGCGCATCTCCAGCTGCGCACCACTCATCAAGCCCGAATTCTCTTGGGCACGACGAATGAGGTATGGCAGCACCTCGTGAATAGGACCGTACGGCACGTACTTGAACACCTTGTAGGCGTTGGCACCTAGCGTGTACGACACGTGGTCGCACATGCCCAGTAACTGGCCAAAGTACACACCACCAGTCGCGCGACTGATGCCAATGTCCTGCATCTGCTGCACAGTGTTCACCACCGACTGCTCGTTGTGCGAAGCCACCATGAAGCTGGCCAGGTTGTTGTTGTGCAGCAGCTTGGTCACCTGAGCGTTGTAGTTAGTGTGTGTGTCCTCAATAGAGTCATGGATCGGGTCGGCATATCCCTTGTCGCGGGCACGCTTGCGTTCCTGCACCATGTAGGCGCCGCGCACCAACTTCGCTGCGAAGCGGAACTTCTCACGACGAGCACGTTCCAGGTCGATGTCGATGCGGTCGCTCGACATCTTGAGGTAGCACTGGAAGGTGTTGTAAATGACGTCCGCGCCGTCACGGTTGTACTTACGCTGGAGGTTCAGTGTGAGATGGTCGATCGCCGGCTGCATGTAGGTCTGCTCAGCATCGACCATTAGCTTCACGCCACGTTCGGCCGCGTCATTGGCCAGCGACTCGAGACGCGCAATCATGTTGCGCAGTTGAGTCTTCTCTTTATCTGAGAGCGGCTCCTCCTCGATGAACTGGGTTAGAGGGCCCATGGTCAAGTCGAACGGGTCGAGAAAACTCACCCAGTCCACGTAGTCGATCACGCCGTCGCCGGACGATTGGTCGAGCTCATTGAAGAGCTTCTGGATTTCCTCCTCAGTGGCGTCCACGCCGGCGTTGCGAAGACCGGCGCTGAGCGTGGGGTAGTCGATCATGCAATCGAGGTAGCGAGACTTGGCGCGAGAAAGGTTGGGGCCGTCCAGTGTGTGGAACAGTAGCTGAGCCTGCACGATAATGGCTGACATGCGCATGAGCAGCTCCGGCTTGCCCAGCGCCGTACACTTGATGGCGACGAAAGCAGGCTCGCCGGTTGATGCGGCCTCACTGGCGTCAATGATGGCGTGGCGCGAGATGGCCGCGTTGGCGTCGCAGGCCGCCTCGCCATCGTAGGCGTAGGTACGGGCCGAAACCAAGTTCTGGTCAACGCCATTTAGGTCACGCGGTTGCTCGACGTCGGCCTCGGCAGCGAAGTCAAGGATGGCACCGATGCCGGCCGTCTCGAGCTTTCGGATCACGGGGCGGATCTCGTTCACTTCCTCGCCGGGGCGGAAATGGCCGAAGAAGGTCGCGGGCGGCAGCGTGTCTGTGAACTTGGCACCCGGGAACTTGTACGAGATCTCGAGGAGATCTCCGCTGTGTTGGACCAGGGGGCGGAACTGCGACATAAAGTAGACACCGTAGGCGCGGACGAGCTCGGGTGTTGTCTTGGTGGCGTGAATGCGCTCAGTGTCGTGAAACTCGTCGGCCAGCGATGTCTGCTTGCTCTGATCCAGCGTCGAGTGGTCATGCGCGGCGATGGGAGATACGGCAGCCGTGGGCGCGGTCGATGAAGGTCGAGGCGAGGCCGACGACGAGAGCGCCGCGGCCGCCGAGCGCTTCAAGCTACTGCGGGCCATGGCGGCGGCCGGTTTTGGCAGTCGCGCGGTGGCCTGGCGTAGCATCGTTTTCAGTATCGTCGAATTGAAGGTCTTAGTCTGCTTGGGCCACTTGAGCTCCACGAGGCAAATTGCGATGTGGGCTCAGAATAGCAAGAACGGCAAGCAATTCTTCACTGGCGGCGGCTGGGCGAAACGTGAACGCCAAGTCGGCAACAAGGAAGGTCCTCTCTCCTCACTTGCCTTTCTGTGTCTTCTTTAAAAAAAAGGCCGAAGCGGCAGCTTCAACACTCACATACAGCATTGTTTCGCATGTGTGCCGCACCCAATATTTGTGTGTCGCACGCCATATTTACAGAAAATTCGTTTGGCCCGGCAGGTTTGGGTCTTCGTTGGTTAGCACAATACAAACTCCAAGTTACGAGGAGAGATCTTGCTCATGTCGTCGACACCAGTGGTAGACCTGGACGCTCTGCGTGCGTCCGTGACGCGTCAGGGCGCGCAGGTGCGCGAGCTCAAGCAGAAAGGTGCGGCAGCGGAGGAAGTGAAGGCGGCCGTGGACGAGCTTAAGAAGCTTAAGCTGGAGCTGGATACGCAGACAGCGCTGCACGGCCCGGCCGAGGATGGACTGAGCAAGAGCGACAAGAAGGCGCTGGACGACCTTCTTCTGCGTAAGATGTTCGTGGTGCCGAGCTTCGAGATCTACGGCGGCGTAGGCGGCTTCTACGACTTTGGCCCGCCGGCTTGCGCTCTCAAAAGCAACCTGCTGCAGTTCTGGCGTCGCCACTTTGTGTTCGCCGATAAACTACTCGAGGTCGAATGCACCAACCTCATGCCCGAGGTGGTGCTGAAAACTTCAGGCCACGTGGACCGCTTCACGGACCTTATGGTTAAGTGCACCAAGTCGGGTGAATGCTACCGGGCCGACAAGCTACTTGAGGACCACGTCGAGAACTATCTAGACAAGCACTCGGACTTGAGCCAGGAGGAGCGCGAGAAGCACGAGATGCACGCCACTATGGCTGAGTCATATTCGCCCGAAGAGATCCACGCCGTGTTTCAGGAGTACGGCATCAAGGCTCCCGGCACGGGCGCGGACCTGAGCTTCCCCATTCCGTTCAACCTTATGTTCAAGTGCGTCATTGGCCCCGAAGGTGGCCTGGTCGGCTACCTACGCCCTGAGACGGCTCAAGGTATCTTCCTTAACTTCCGTCGACTACTCGAGTACAACGCCGGCAAGGTTCCATTCGGCTGCGCCCAGATCGGTAGCGCCTTCCGTAACGAGATCTCGCCCCGTGCTGGCCTCCTTCGTGTACGTGAGTTCCAACAGGCCGAGATCGAGTTCTTCGTCAATCCTAAGGACAAGAGCCACGCTAAGTTCTCCATTGTCAAGGACCTGGAACTGCCGCTGCTGACCAAGACCAACCAGCTTACCCACGGCAAGGCCGTGCAAATGACGTGCGGTGCTGCGGTGGAACAGGGCATCATCGCCAACGAGAGTCTGGCCTACTACTTGGCCCGCACGTACAAGTTCTGCAAGGCCATCGGCATTGACTTGGAGCGTCTGCGTTTCCGCCAGCATCTCAACACCGAGATGGCCCACTACGCCACGGACTGCTGGGACCTGGAGATTAAGTTGAGCTCCGGCTGGGTGGAGTGCGCCGGCCACGCCGACCGCTCGTGCTACGACCTGTCGGTTCACGCCAAGAAGAGTAAGGTCGAGATGGTGGGCACGCACAAGTTCGACAAGCCCGAGAAGCGCCAGATCGTGGAGATTAAGCCGAACAAGGGCAAGATGGGCCGAACGTTCAAGGCCGATGTGGCCACGATCCTTGAGGCGCTGGAGGCTTTGAAGGATGATGTGCCACGCGCCCAGGCTTTCGAGGACGAGCTGACCTCCAAGGGCGAGGCCACGCTGGGCCCGCTGTGCGACGGTAAGCAGTTCACGCTGCAGCGCGACATGGTGGCCATCAAGGTGGTGGAGAAGATGGTGAGCGAGGAGAAGTTCGTTCCCTCGGTGATCGAGCCCTCGTTCGGCATTGGCCGTATCTTGACTGCCGTTTTTGAGCACAATTTCTATACTCGCGAGGGTGACGAGAAGCGCGGCGTCATGTCGTTCTCACCCTTGATCGCCCCCATCAAGGTGTCGGTGCTGCCTCTGAGCAACAACCCGGCCTTTGAGCCATTCGCGACGGAGCTGGAGAACGTCTTCGTGGAGGAAGGCCTGGAGTGCAAGGTGGACACGTCGAGTGTCGCCATTGGCCGCAAGTACGCACGCGCAGACGAGCTGGGCATTCCATTCAACGTCACGATCGACTTTGATACTGTCAAGGATCGTGTCGTGACGCTGCGTGAGCGTGACTCGACGGCACAGGTGCGGATCCCCATGGACGCCATCGGAGCCGAAGTGAACAAGCTGGTCAAGGGCTCGACCACGTGGGAGAAGATGCTCGAGCAGTACCCGAAGGTCACGGCCGCCGAGTAGGTAGAAGACGACGGATAGATGCCAGCAGCGGAGGCAGATAGAGTCGTGCGATGCGATCTCTAACCGTAATGCATTGCCTAGCGTTACAATACATCGAAATTGCCGTTTCACTTCAAGTTGCCACTGACGCATGCGACCTACGAAAGAGCATGCAGCTTGGCGACGATATTCTGAGATGGACAGTCCATTACTTGCGTTGACAACGGCAAGTGAGCCCGGCTTTGCAAATGTACGTCAACGAGGCGAAACGACAAGTCTCATCATTTCGGGCCAGAGATGTTTACTTGGAATGGCCCGAGAGTCGGACAAAAGGCCCAGGTCTCAACATTTTGGGCCGGAAGAGATTAGACGAGCTTGATCTGGGAGCTGACGTGGCGATTGCTTGAAGTCGAACCGGTGGACGCGGACGTCTCGACCGAGTCAGTGGACCGTAAGCCATCCACCTGCGAGGTGAGGGTCTGCTTGGCGCAATCGCGCATTTGATTCCAGAGGATTTTGCGGCAGAAGACCTCATTTTCTGTAGGACTGCGACTCGCTGCCATATAGGAGAACAATTCCGATAACTGGAAATGATTCTCGACTGCAACGCTGGGCTGCGGTCTCTCCTGGTCAATTTTTCGCTGTTGTTTCGCGTTAGTCCTGGGGAACTTTGTGGTTGCTGCAGGTGCGAAGCACAGCGGGCCATTGCTACGAGTGGCTCAGCGACGAACGTCCAACATTGTTGTTATTTCCTGCGTGAGTGACTGTTGATCGATGCAGCAAGAGTCATTCACAAGCATGACGTATGAGTTTCTTTCTGCATTTTGTCAAAAACGCATGGCACAGAAGAAAATCAAGTTGCTAAGTACTGACGCGAGTCAATCGAGTCTGGACACTACAATATTTCAACGCAGTCTGACGTTTGGGGACATTCATCAGCTGCAACGAGCTTCTCCTTAACAGTTTATTTTCATTTAAAAAGTTTTGCCGTTTAAGCATGTACTTCCACGAAGCTACCATTTGGAAGACACCACAAATTTGATCGATCAGGGTGAGAATTCGCAGTACCCTCACCGAACAGGACGAGATCGGTTCTCATGTACCGACCGCAATCTGTTGGAAAGTGCTCGAGCACACCCTGTTCCCAGTGGTACCGCTATCCTCACAAAAAGAATGTTGTTATCGGCTTTCTCCCACCCTGTCAGTGCGCCGTACGGGGTGCTTACAGTTGCATTAGCGCTCGTGATGTTCAGCCCTGTTACCATTGGGTTCACTATCCAGTGGCGGAACCCGAACATCAGAGGACGAATACCCGCAACGTAGTTAGTCAAAACATACGTAGGAGCTCCACCCCACGGATGGCTTAACGACGTGCACTCTTTTAGTCCAGGTTTCAGAGACAGTGACACACACTCCCAACTTGCTCCGGAACGATAATGCTCGTTCGAGATCATGGCATCCCTTAGCTTGTCAAGCTAGAAAGGAGCCTCGGGTAGCGGAGGCTTCGTCTCCTACCGTGAACCTACACTGAATCGGCAGGTTCCAAAACTCGTACGAAGTATAGTTGTGGAATCTGGGGCGACAGTATAAATTACAGTGTAGTTCACCGTCCAAGTTGAGATAATTAAAAGCTGTACGCAAGAAGGGCCACACACTAATAAGCAGCGCCACCTTGTGTTGTATGTATACACTATACTTGGCTTTGATAGTGAGTGGCCTGCAAGTATTAAAATTGACTCTTAATTAAGGGTTAAAAACGTCCCTTGCAAAAGCGCTGAATAGTTCATTTTTGCTATATATATTGCCAAAATACTATTCGCCAAACTAATTGTTTTTGAAAATCTCATAAAAAGTATTGCAATTTTGATAATTATTCTTTAGAATGATGCTATTGAAAATAATCTGCTAGTATTTTAATCGTTATTAAAATAAAAGCCTCTCCTCAAAAAATGTCCCAGACCTCAGCATATTGTTCTTCTACCGGTGCTGTACAGCATATCTATCGTATACGGAGAAGTGAGACCGATACAAGACGACCCCCAGGCGCCCCGATCTAAACAAGACTGTCCTGTTGTACTGGGAGAGGTTCCGAGTCACTGAAGCATGGAAGCCACATCGTAAGCGAAATGATCAACTTGAAACCGGTATTAGTGTCAGAGTGTCAGCTCTACACTGCACCAATACGTCAGATTCCCGTTGAAAAAAAAGCCCGTTTGATTTGGTGCTCAACATGCGGGCTGATGACTACACCTTCATGGGAAAGTTTCAAGACTGCTGAGCTGAACACACAGCTGGAACGATTCAAATACTTAGGTCGAGCACGTTTTTGTTTTGTCGAACGCTCGTTTCGAAAGCTGGAGCCTTTTATTACTTAGCGCCCCAATATTCGGGCGATGACGACGGTGACCAAGCGCCTGCTTAGGAGTCCGCAGATATGCACCACATCGGGTTACACAAGCTTCAGGTGGTCTACGAAAAAGGCATTGTGCTCTAGTAAATGCATTCAAGTGAAAACTGGAGCGGTGGGCATTTATTAATAGTGCTACCAATTGGACTCCTTTCAAAAATGGCATAAACACCCGTTTTATTTACCGTTAATATGATAAGCATAGAAGAGGTGTATGCTTATATCGGCCTCAGCATGCACCACAATTACCGTGTTGCCGACGTTTCTGTCCACAATAGTGTCCAGATTCTTAAAAACCTACATACTAAGTGAAATGTACTTGTCACTTGAAGGCGGGCACGCCTCCGATATTTTTCCACGTTTCTAGCCGGCGTTGCTCACTTTTGAATTTGTTTCTTCTACCATAGAGATGGATGGATGCACGGATGAAGCACTTGTGTGGCTTTCGCAAGCCTTCGCGCACGTGGAGGCGGACCTAAATGCGACTCGTACAGAGATCTACGAAGTGATGTCGGAGGAGGCGTGGCGTGTTGCCATGCGAAGCCGCCATTATTTGACGGTTCAGTGCCTAGACACACCAAGTACTGCAGCTTGAATGACCCTGTATGAGCACGGAAATGACAAGAACCTCCTAAACGCCACAAGCCTGACGAGGTGGCGGCCATTGACAGCTTATGAATCTATGAAGATACTGACTCGGTTGTGTGTACAACGGACCTTGTATTTCCTCATTCGATCAGCTCCGGAGAAGATTTTCTACGTTCTACACGATCCGTCCAGCAAACGCGAGATGTCGACTGCCAAAGCTACGTTATCATCACCAAGGACAAGGGCTGGTACTCTGTTTCTATGTTGGTTCAATGGAGATCAGCACACAGTGCATTCTGTTTGGCGTGCCTCCAAGCACTATGGTGCGAGCGCTACGCAAGGTCGAGGAAGCGCTGGCGAGCTCACTGAAGGGAATACGCACCCTCACGGTTTGCATGGCCGTCACCAGCCCTCCAAGTCGAGTTTGCCCGGCGTGTAGAGAGACGCGAGCCGCTGCTCCAGTACACTTTCGGATTCGTAGACGGCAAAAACCTGCGGGTGAGTCTACAGTACTGTATCATTATCTTTTAGACTCTCCAATTATTCTGACTGTACTGATGTGTATATGTTGGTGATGAAGCCATCGAATGCAGACCTACAAAATGCCATGTACAACGGGTGTCTTCGTCACGGGGACGATCTGTTTTGCGGCTGATGGGTGCATCATCTGGCGTAAACACAGCTGTCCGGGGTCGTGGAACGACTCGGACACGTCGTTGGGCTTTCGTACAAAGCTGCTTGACCCAACGTTTTGTCCGGACACGAGGATGAGTATGGTCTCTGATTCCGCGTTCCCACGCTTCACTGAGCTAACGGGTCGCATTTACACGCCACTAAAAAACGGTGATATCGAGCGAATTCTGCCTTCACTAAGAAGCTCCGCCAGGACACTTCACAACGCCATAACGTCGGTGCGCCAGACCGCGGAGTGGGACATGGGCAGCTTACAGAAAGTATACAGCCGCCTTAAACTCCCGCTTCCGTACGACCCGTAGCGCCGCGGACTGCGCATTGACAACATATTTCGTATGTCGAGCTACCGAGTGCGCACTATGAGTATCTCGCAGATCCGCACAACGTTCTTGGGGGGAATGGATGAGATGGCAGCGACGCAGTAAAAGGTCAGTCTACTTGCACAAAGAGCCCGCGACACCTTGCGTTTGATTTTTATCTCCGTTGTAAAGAGCTGTAGCGTAGTACAACTAGTACAAATCTTGTACTACGCATTGAAGGAATTTGAACTGGACAGAGGCAGTTGACTGAACTATGCTACATATGCATGGGCCTCGTTGGGTTTGAGTGATATCGTTTGTCAAAGCTATAGCTAGCAGCAGAGGTCATCGTCATTTGCTTCATTTTCACTCCTTCTTTGACAAAGCACCGATCAGTACGATCAACTCTTGAGTACGAGCGTGGGCTTCCTCCTTATCGCGTCGCGTGCGCTCCTCCATGTCCACCTTGTCCTGACGACGACACTCATCGGCCTCGGCCTTTTCCACAGCCATGCGGGCCCCGCGTGCTTCAGATTCGTCACGGCGTCGACGGTCTTCTTCTTCGCGACGGAGCTCGGCTTTCCGCTCGTTTTCTTCGCGAAAAAACATCATTACCTCCATCATGCTGGACCTCACGGTGTGAGTGGCGCTCTCAACGGCACACAGCTTGTGCTTGAGATCCTTTGTCGCCTTGATTGCCCTCGCTCGCTTGGCCTTGGCGAAGCCGGCCTCGCTCAAGTCGACATCCTCATCCTCCACCCACGTTTTGATGCAATGTTGTCACGGAAGGCGTACAAGTCTGAGCCGCCTAAACGAGTTGAGTAGTCCAGCAAGGTGTCGTACCGCAAAGCTTCTTGCTCGTCTCGAGTGCCGGTCTTGAATCCCGTGGCAACCGGTTTCTCTATGGTCTTCTGCTTTTTAGATGATGACACCGTCTTGGTCAACGCCGAGCAAGCTCTGGTGGCTGGTGGAATAGGTGATTTGCTGGGGTTGCTCTGACCAGCCGAAAGAAGAATTCGCGCCGAAGCCGATCT